GACAGGGGGCTGGCGATAGCACAGCGGGGAAAGCCAGCATTTGGCCCACCCGGGTTCTATCCCAGCATCACCTATGGGTTCCAGAGCCTGCCGGGAGTGTCTCAGTGCAGAGCCAGGTGTAACCTATGGGCACTGCTGAATGTGGCCTCCAAACTAAAAAAGCAAACAAACAAAGAAAAACAAAAAAAAAATAAACAACAACAATAAAAACCTGAAAGGAAAAAGAGCCAGACCCTTCAAGGTCACAAAGAAATAAATAGCTAACTACGTGATGGAAAGCCGTGAGTTTCTACTGATTCCTCCAAAAATCAGAGTCAGCATAGGGAGAACAAAACTAAAGCTATTATTAGAAAATAAGGGTGCTAAGGACTACTCTGGGGCTGGGGATGGGCTCAGGGTAAGAGTGTGTCACACAGATGGAAGGCCCTGAGTCTGAGCTGTGACCAAAAAAAAAGAATATAAGAAAAAAGACAAAAAAAATGAAGATGACTATGATAGAATGAGTTTTATACATAAAGAAGTAGACATTTCGTCTACAAAGACTCAATCTCTCAGGGCCCAAAAGGGATGAACAGGCCGAGCTCATGCTTTATATGCAGGAGGGCTAGGTTCAATCCTCTGCACTGCGTGGTCTCCCAGCACTGCCAGGAGCGACCCCCCAGAAGGAACTGGCCAGGTACAGCCTCAACATGAAAAACGAAAGCTTATAGCTGTCATATCCATGTACTTGACTATGGAAGGGTGAGATGAGAAGAAAGTATGGAATGTGTACTGGTCAGATTCGGGGAAGGTACGTTCAAAGAATCATATATATATATATATATATATATATATATATATATATCTCACCGTCACTGTCACTGTCCTCCCGTTGTTCATCGATTTGCTAGAGCGGGCCCAGAAACGTTTCCATTTTGAGACTTGTTGTTACTGTGTTTGGCATGTTGAATATGTCACGGGGAGCTTGCCAGGCTTTGCCTTGCGGGCGAGATCCTCTCGGTAGCTTGCTGGGCTCTCCGAGAGGGGCGGAGGAATCGAACCCAGCTCGGCCGGGCTGGCTGTGTGCAAGGCAAACGCCCTACTGCTATGCTATCGCTCCAGCCCATATATATATATGTATACACATATATACACACACATATAATTATACATATATAATTATATATACATTAATTATATATAATTATATAATTATAAAAGGTAAAGGTAAAGGCCCTCCCGTTGTTCATCAATTTGCTCGAGCGGGCCCAGTAACGTCTCCATTGGAGACTTTGTTGTTACTGTGTCTGGCATATCGAATACATCACGAAGAGCTTGCCAGGCTTGCCAGGCTCTGCCGTGCGAGCAAGATACTCTCGGTAGCTTGCCAGGCTCTCCGAGAGGGGCAGAGGAATCGAACTCGGGTCGGCCATGTTGGCTGCGTGCAAGGCAAACGCCCTACCGCTGTGCTATAATTATTATAATTATATTATTATAATTATTATAATATAATAATTATATTATTATAATTATATATAATTATATATATACAATATATACATATATATATTACAGTGGTTTTCTTAGGTGGAATGTGCAGCTAGAGGACAGAGGATACTGTGTCCCCCCAGGCATCCTTCTGAATGTTAGTATCCAAAAAGGTAGTGAAAAAGGCTTGACTATGTATGGATTGAGACAGAGAAAGACTTAGACTTGACTTGATACCCCTGTCAGGACTCTGAGATTTTTTATCTGCCCAAGTGTGAAGATGAGTGAGCTGACTGTGAAGACAAGATACACATATCCTGTGGGTTTACACCCATGGGCAATGCCATTTTGGTGGGGTGGCTCTATTAGTACTGCACGATTTTCAGAAGCACCGCTAACTTTCTTCCCTAAACCAAAAGGCAAAGAACTGTGAGGAAGAAAATAATTCAGGAAACGGAACTGGGCTGGGGATGCGGCTCCATGGCGGAGCACATGCCTAAACGCACAAGGTCCTTGGGGCCAACAAAACCAGCAAAATAACCCAAACGGCAGTTGTGCCCTTAACACCTGAGTGGCTGAAAAGAGTGAGGCAGAAAGATGGTGTATCCTGAAAACGAACTGCAAGGAAGACTCAGGACCTACTTCTGGCCAGGGAGACGACTGTCTGCCGGTGACATGGAAAGCATTTAATTTTAGATAAGGAGTTAATGGAGGCAGAAAATTCATGAGCAAGCATGGGAAGGGGGGCGTTCTGGGCCGTCCTTCACGCCCGACCGAGGTCACCAGCTGCCCCCCACGAGCGGCTCTCCGGCACGGCCACGACTCCAGAGCACAGAAACCAATCTCTTAATTATCTGACTTTTAGTAGAAATACTTCCAGGGTTAATAAGTAAAATAGCAGAAATCCAAAACCATCATTTTATTCTTAAACCAAGTTGTAGAAAGCAAATCATTTCACAACGCTGTTTCAGCATGTCTGATTGGGGGGTGGGGTCGTAAACTCTAAACAATAATGGTGCATCTTTTATCGAAACAATGAATCTAGTCAAAGTAGATAGAGTATTAACTAGAACTCATCTGCCTCACAGGAATTGGGAGGGGTGGGAGGTGGGGATCTATTGGGGTTCGCGGTTAAAAATAAGTATTGGTAAAGGGAAATGTGTTTGATATTTACATGACTGAGACCTAAACCCGAAAGCTCTGTAACTTTTCCCACAGTGATTCAATAAAGAAATAAATTATATATATATATAAAAAAAGAAAATTCATGAGCAAGACACAGAGCCCCGACTACTATAAGGGGAAGCACTAAACTGTGAAGAGGTGAAGCTTTGGAAAGTGCCTTTGCTTCGGCATGGAAGCATGACTCCAACAGCACCCTGGCTCCCGACATCCAGGCTCGTGTTCCAACACCTCAAGACAAAAATCTTATCCCGCCAATCTCTAGGCTGACAGCCCAGAACCTACAAATCTGGCCAATCACAAATGGTTTCTTTAGAGTCTGATATGATTACTGGAGCCCAGGGAGGGCACAAGAATATCCCACCTTCAGGAAACTGGAAGTATGGACATCTCTAAGAAACTAGCCACAGGGCTGGACAGACAGCTAAGGGCTGAGTCCAGGCTCCGAGTGCAGGTTTCACCCCCAGCCCTGCGTGGCCACTTGAGTATTGCTGGGAGTGACCCATAGGCACAGAGCCTGTAGCCCTCAAGACCACAAAGATATGGCTGAAATAAAAAGAAACAAATGAATCAAATCTAGAATGAAAAATATTTTGATAAGTGTGAGCAATATAATAGCACTGTAGCACTGTCCTCCCGCTGTTCATCGATTTGCTCGAGCGGGCACCAGTAACGTCTCCATTGTGAGACTTGTTACTGTTTTTGGCATATCGAATATGCCACAGGGAGCTTGCCAGGCTCTGCCGTGCAGGCAGGATATTCTCAGCAGCTTGCCGGGCTCTCCGAGAGGGATGGAAGAATCGATCCCAGGTCGGCAGCATGCAAGGCAAATGCCCTACCCACTGTGCTATCACTCCAGCCCAGGGAATATTATAGTTAAATAAAATATTCTATGGACCAAGAAGATAACTCAAAGGACTACAGCGAAGGCTTTGCACACTAGAGACCTGGATTTAATCTCTAACACTGCTGCATATATATGCCCCCCCCCCAAAAAAAAAACAAGGGACAATTTGTATACAGTCTACATATTTTTGTGTGTGAGTGTGTGCTACACACTGGTTACAGTATTTATGACTTAACAGAAAACGCTGATGTCATGGCTAAACTAAATAACAGATAATTTTGTATCTGAGACATTTAGAGGAAACCCATACTAAGCTGATTATTTTACCTACTACTTAGTAATGTTGGATACTTCTGATGTTTATTTATTTGTTATTATACATTTTTTTTTTTGCATTTTTGGTCACACCCGGCCATGCTCAGGGGTTACTCCTGGCTCATGTACTCGGGAATGACTCCTGGCGGTGCTCAGGGGACCATATGGGATGCTGGGATTCGAACCCCGGTCGGCCGCGTGCAAGGCAAACGCCCTACCCGCTGTGCGATCTCTCCAGCCCCTGTTATTACACATTTTTGACTTTGGGGCCACATCTGCCAATGCCCAGGGCTTACTCCTGACTCTGTGCTGAGGGACCATGGCACCATATGTGGTGTCTGGGCTCGAACCTGGGTCGGCTGAGTACAAGGCAAGCACCTTATCTGCTGTACTAACACTCCAGTGCCACTTTTGGTAGTTTTCAGCGTCAGTATTAAGCAAAATTCATAGTACATAATTTATACGCTATGGCTGATGAAACTTGCCTGGCATTATGTGACTCACTGATTCTAAATTTGAGATACAACCATTCCATGCTTATCGCTAACATTAAATTAATGTGTTGTACATGTCTAGAAATTCTCTGTAAAAGAAAGACAGAGGTTAAAGCCACAGGCCAAGAGATTCAGCACATAACTTGCATGTGAGGTCGGGGTTTGATCACCAGCATTACAAACATAAGCAAAAAACCCCAAATATTTTACTTTTTTTTGGGGGGGGGGTGATGCAAGGGGTTACTCCTGGCTCTGCACTCAGGAGTTACTCCTGGCGGTGCTCAGGGGACCATATGGGATGCTGGGAATCGAACCCAAAAAACCCAAATATTTTAAAGTTATGTCTGGCTGAGAAGTACTTACAGCAAAGAGACATGGGTCAGAAACTATAGCAGCGATTGGATAATTCTGGTTAGTTTTGTTTTAGTTTTGGGCTACACTGAGCTGTGCTTTGGGGTTCCTCCTGTCTCTGCACTCAGGAGTTGTTACTCCTGAATAACCATCTTATATGGTGCCGGGGATGGAACCTGTGTTGGGTGCGTGCAAAGCAATCGCCCTACCCCCAGTACTACTGCTCTAGCTGGGAAGTCACCTTTTGCAGGACGAAGAGATCAACCTGGGTTGGCTTCTTCCTCTTCCCTGCTGGGGTTGGGGGCTGAGAGCCCGCCCATCCCTCCCACAATGCCATAGCTTACTTTTTATAATTGATGTTGAGATTGGCGGTCATGACAATCCCTCCGGTCATTAGTGCCGATGTACCAACAGTCCCATCAATCATGGAGGCAATGGAACCTCCATGAAGGAATCTAGTTACAAAAGGAAAGAGAGAGACATGTTTCAGAGATAAAATGATCACACTCATTTCTGGGACATAAAAAACACAGTATGAGACGAAGACCCAAGAACAGTAGAAACAAGGGCCAGGAGGACTGATGCATGGTTGGAAGCATGCAGGAAGGTAGGATGGGGGGATGTGGGGGGCCTGGAGTGACAGCACAGCGGGTAGGGCGTTTGCCTTGCACGCGGCTGACCCGGGTTTGATTCCCAGCATCCCATATGGTCCCCCGAGCACCGCCAGGAGTGATTCCTGAGTGCAGAGCCAGGAGTAACCCCTGTGCAATGTCCGGGTGTGACCCAAAAAGCAAAAAAAAAAAAAAAAGAAAGGTAGGATGGGCATCTAAGACAGAGAAGGGACCACGATGACAATGATATTTGAAAACAATCACTCTGATCACTCTGGACAAGAACTGAGTGCTGAAAGGAGATAAAGGGATATTATCGCATGATGACCTCTCAGTAGCTGTATTGCATAATGCCCAAAAAAGGGAGGGGGGTCTGGGGGGAGGGAGGGAAGGAATGAGGACAAGTGTCTGCTGTATAAGAAAGCTGCGTGGGGGACAGGTGGGGGACTTTGGTGATGGGAAAGGTAAGGGACCTGTATTGGAACACTGTTACATTGTATGACTGAGACCCAATTAGGAACAACTTTGTAACTGTGCCTCTCACAGTGATTCAGTTAAAAAAAAATAAAAAAGAGAGGGAGAAGCTTGCAAAAGTTCTAAGGGGTGGGCGGCGGGCAGAGAGATAGTACAGCAGGTGGGATGCTTGCTTTGCATGTGGCTGACCCGGGTTTGATTCCCCGAGCCCTGCCAGAAGTGATCCCTGAGCACAGAGCCAGGAGTAAATCCTGAGCACAGCAGGGTATTACTGCCCACCTATGCCCCGCCCCCCCAAATGCAAAAATCAGGTATTCATGAAGACATAGTACAGCTCTTTGTAAATACCTGCTTACAAAGGTGAGGTATTTTCCTTGCACACAATTGACTCAGATCTGATTCCCCCAAATCCCACAGATCTCCGAGCACAGAGCCAGGAGCAAACCCTGAACACCGCTGGGTGTTGCTCCTCCCCCTCCCCCCCCCCCCCCCCCAAAAAATCCACTGTTTCTTTCATTCTTACCCAGGGGCGCCTTGCAGGTAAGGGCCCCCTTGAAACAAGCAGACAGTCCTCTTCTCAGCCTCTTTATAGAACATCACGTATTCAAAACCCAGGCCCTCCGGAAAGCTTCTGGTGAAGAGCTGGGCAAGCGAGGTTTGCTCTTCCTTCATAAGCTTCGCATCTGCAGAGAGCAAGGCAGATGGACATGGGCCGTAAGTTGTGAGAAACAACCACAGCTGTGAGACTCACTCACCATGGATGACAGCCAGGTCAGGTGTTGGGAAGATCTGCCCGCGATGGAGATGCATGCTGAAAGTAGACTATAGACCGAACATGATTGCCACTCAGTTCCTCTTTTGCAAACCACAGCACCCAAAAGGAGAGAGAGAACAAAAGGGAATGCCCTGCCACAGAGGCAGGGTGGGATGGGGGGATGGGGGGTGGGAGGGATACTGGGACCCGTGGTGGTGGAAAATGGGCACTGGTGGAGGGATGGGTACTCGATCATTGTAGAACTGAAACCCAAGTGTAAAAATTTGTAAGTCTACAACTGTACCTCATGTTGTTTCACTAATAAGAATTAAAAAAATAAAATAAAAGAAATGTTAACTCTTGCTATCAATTGTAGTTATCAGTCACATATTTCTCATTGTAGCAGATTCTTCTGTATGCAGAGAAGTTTCAAATGTATTTCACCTTCAGGTGCTGTTAAAGAAATGATGATTCAACTATTCATATCGTTTCAGATATATCATATAAACATATATGCATGCACATATACTTATCTATACGTATAGTTATTCTACTGATACCTCTTCTCAAATAGATCTACCTTCTGTGATCCTTAAACAAAAAAAAGGCAAAGAAGGGGCTGGCGCGATAGCACAGCAGGTAGCGCGTTTGCCTTGCATGTGGCCGACCTGGGTTCGAATCCCAGCATCCCAAATGGTCTCCTGAGCACCGCCAGGAGTAATTCCTGAGTGCAGAGACAGGAGTAACCCCTGGGCATTGCTGGGTATGACCCAAAAAGCAACAACAACAACAACAACAACAAAAGGGCAAGGAAGGGGACAGTCCCCAACAGAATAACAGAATGAAGGATCTGTACTCCTGAAAAACTATTCTCAAGGTGTGAAAAACGAGAAAATGCATTCACAAGTTTGCCAATCAACTGGCATGACAGCACACAATTGTGTCTTAGTTTTCATTAGAAATGAAGGTTTCTTTATTGTTAGAAATTCTAGTTAACATATGGAATTAAATTTCTAGAAAAATTAAGGGACAAAGCTTTGCATATTAGGAAAGTACAATATGTGTATTTATTTATTTATTTTATTTAATGAAATTTGCATAGGAAGGGGGCTGGAGCGATAGCACAGCGGGTAGGGCATTTGCCTTGCACGCGGCCTACCTGGGTTCAATTCCTCTGTCCCTCCATCCCTCTCGGAGAGCCCGGCAGACAACCGAGAGTATCCCGCCTGCACGGCAGAGCCTGGCAAACTCTCCGTGGTGTATTTGATATGCCAAAAACAGTAATAAATGGAACCCCGATGACCATGAGCCTGCAAGCGGGCACCAGGACATTCTTTCCAAACTGCAACGGGGCTGCCCCGGCTCTCAGGCAACCTCTGATTTTGGAAGTCACGCCCACAACCCGCCCCCCAGCACCATCTTACAGCACACAGCAACGAAGAAGAAAACGGCTGGGGGGCCCCATAGCTCCCAGAGAATGCTCCAGGTCCCAAACAGAGCCCATATCACCGGGAGGTCCCAGATGGGGTAGGTGCTGCATCCTGCCTTCTCCAGAGGAACCCCGATGACCATGAGCCTGCAAGCGGGCGCCAGGACATTCTTTCTAAACCATGCGGCTGCATAAGCGGCCACGCGACATCTTCTTATGTACAAAGTGATCAATGGAAAGAAAATCATCCAACGTTTCTCCATGATAATCAGACTTAACTCTTTTGCAAACCACAACACCCAATGGGAGAGAGAGAACAGAGGGGAATGCCCTGCCACAGAGCCAGGGTGGGGTGGGGGGGGGATGGGGGGTGGGAGGGATACTGGGATCCGTGGTGGTAGGAAATGGGCACTGGTGGAGGGATGGGTATTCAAAAGAAAGAAAGAAAGAAAAAAAAAAACATGAACAAGAAGTCTCACAATGAAGACATTACTGGTGCCCACTTGAGCAAATTGAAAAACAAAGGGAGGACAGCCCTACAGTGCTACTTAGAAAGATGTGAGGGAAGGAAGGAGGAAAATGTGTTCATGAGAGAAATAAGGCTGGAGAGAGCCAAAAAGTAGGGTGTACTTTTAGTTTAAAAAAAATTTTGGTGCAGGACCAATAGTACAGTGGGGAGCAGTGGGAAGGGTTTTTGCCTTGTATGTGGCCAACCTGGGTTCGATTCCTGCAATCCCTGAGCCTGCCAGGAGTGGTTCCTGAGTGCTGAGCCAGGACTCACCCCTGAGTATCTCTGGGTGTGGCTCTAAGACCAAAAATAAAAAAAGAAATCAAACAAACAAATCAATAAATGTGTGTCCAGAGCCATACTGCAGCTGGTAGGCACTTACCTTGCGCGCAGCTAACTCAGATTCGATCCTCAGCACCCCTTGTTCCCCCGAGCCCCGCCAATAGTGAACCCTGGGTGCAGAGCCAGGAATAAGCTCTGGCTTATGGTGTGGATTTTTGATGTGGACCAAAAAAAAAAAAAAAAAGGTGAGGATACCAAGATATGTCTTTCATAAAGGAAAAAATTAATTTTGTCCTAAAGTGGAATAACTGGTTGTTTCGGTGAGAAAGAGGAGACAAATTGAGTGGGTAATATGAAAAGGGAGAATATATTTACATAGAATAGAATAAAATAAGACCATCATAAGAGCGGGCCCAGTAACGTCTCCATTGGAGACTTTGTTGTTACTGTGTCTGGCACATCGAATACTCTCGGTAGCTTGCCGGGCTCTCCGAGAGGGGCGGAGGAATCGAACTCGGGCCGGCCATGTTGGCCGCTTGTAAGGCAAACGCCCTACCGCTGTGCTATCGCTCCAGCCAAACACAGTAACAACAAAGTCTCCAATGGAGACGTTACTGGGCCCGCTCGAGCAAATCGACGATCAACGGGAGGGCCTTTACCTTTACCTTACCTAATCATAAGAGGTTTTTAAAATAAACTTCAATAGGATACCCATGCAAAATTAAAATTTAATATTCTTGCAGATATTAACGCACTGTTTTCTCGCACTATATTCACTGTTCTTGCTGGGGTTTGCCTTGGGGCTTCAGCCAGTGATGCTCAGAGGTTACTCCTGACTCTGTGCTCAGGGATCACTCCCGGCAGTACACAGGGGACCATAAGGGATGCTGAGGATTGAACCGGGGTCAGCTGTGTGCAAGGCAAATGCTCTACCTGCTATATTATCGCTCCATCTCCTACACTTGGGAATGATGTGGAGAGGGTGTAAGAAACTCAACACCACAAAGTAGAGTTATTAAGAGGAGGTGGGTGTCCACCGTACCCCCAGCTGCATAAAGGACTCCCATCAAACATACAGTCTGCGTCACTGAAATGCACCCAATGGAGCGTGACTATATATACCTGTTATCCAGAAGAGACCGTGACAGGGTTTCTGAACCCTTTAATTAATCTGTGTCGATAACAAAGATTTGATAATTTACCAAAATAATCTTCTGGGCTTCAAGTTCTTTTTTTTCAGTATTTGATTATTTAGAAATGACAGTCTTCTCTATTGAGCTAAGGCTGTTTTTTTTTTCTGCTGTGTATAAAAATAATGAAGGCAGCGGCGTTATTTGCTTTTAAAACCCTTTGTCACATTGGGGCTGGAGCTACAGTATAGCAGGTGGGGTTCTTGCCTTGCATGGGGCAGACCCAGGTTTGATCCCTGGCATCCTATACGGTCCCCTGAGCCCACCAGAAGTGATTCATGAGTTCAGAGCCCCAAGTAAACATCTAGTACCCATGGGATGTGGCCCCCCAAACAAATAAACACCAAATCCTTTGTCTCTTTGGTTAAATGGACTACTAAAGGTTGTTTCACCGTGACCTCTGATGTGTTTTAGTCAAGTGTTTACAAAGTTTGGGCTGGGGGTTGTGAGTCAGTGGTAGAACACATTCCTTGCCTGTAAAGTTCTGGGTTTGATCCTCAGCAAAACATACACACACATACCCTGCATGTGTGTGTATACATATATACATATATATATATAAAATTTAATATACTATATCATATCATATTATGTAATATGTGATATATAATATAAACAAGTGTATATTTATATATAAAAGTTGCATGTGACAAATTTCCCCAAATCAATTTTTTTGGATAATTTTAAATATAATGATAAGGAGCTATAGCACAGCGGGTAGGGCATTTGCCTTGCATGTGACCAACACAGCCGACTTGAGTTCGATTCCTCCGCCCCTCTCAGAGAGCCCAGCAAGCTACTGAGAATATCTGGCCCGCACAGCAAAGCCTGGCAAGCTCCCCGTGACGTATTCGATATGCCAGACACAGTAACAACAAGTCTCAAAATGAAGATGTTACTAGGCCCACTCGAGCAAATTGATGAACAACGGGAGGACAGTGACAGTCACAGTGATATATGTGCATAGCAGAGCCTGGCAGGCTATCTGTGGCATATTCGATATGCCCAAAACAGTAACAATAATGGGTCTCATTCCCCTGACCCTGAAAGAGACTCTAATACGGGAGTGTTGAGAAAGACCAGTATGGAGAGGCTGCTAAAATCTCAGGGCTGGGATGAATGGAGACGTTACTGGTGCCCACTCTAGTAAATTGATGAACGACGAGATGACAGTGACACAGTGAAAATGATTATAATTTCTGTTGGACCACATCTGCAGGTGTTCAGGGCATAATTATTTCTGACTGCTCAGGAATCACTCTTGGCACGGCTTGGAGGGCCCTGTGGGGTGCCAGCGATCAAACCTGGCTTGGCAGAGTATATTATCACTCTTATGAACAAAAATGTTACACTTGGAAATAACATCCAAGAATTCCATACAACTTTGGAACACACACATTAGTAACATTATCCATCAACATACTCTCTGGACCTTGAGCCAGACTTCCTTTGGCTGGGTGGGGGCCACACTGGTGGTGCACGGGTCCACCCCAGCCGATGCTGGAGGACAAGTCCCAGGC